AAATTAAAAAAAACAAATACAAGTAACCTATGTATTCTTCCAGACTATCCTCTACATCTGTGCCAAATGTCATTGAAATCCGTTGAGCCGTTAAAGCTACAAACTCTAACAAACATCTATCAATCTAAACTTTCACATTTATAGTATTAGTGTAATTTCTATTTCATAACGCAAGTCGTTATTACAAGTACATGAAAGTTTGAGCTGATTAAACTGTGGAACTGTTGCGTCTTTCTCCGCATTATATTAAGAGCATCCTCCCCTCATATCTGCCATAATTGTTGGCTTCACTCAATAAATCAGCCTGTAGCGAGGTTATGAATGACCGGGCGAAAATAGCCCGGTTCCCAGAAGCCACGCTGCCGGCTGGTGACGAATGCCCGGTGTTGGTTGCATACTCAAATTGCTCAGTTAGTTTTACTGATGGGAATTGCGAATTGCAATAGTTCTGACTCTTTCGTGAAATTTTGTTATTGTGAAATCATAAACGCCTGTAAAGCGTCACTAAGTATAGGACTGATTTTTAAAGATACGCCATTCTGGAATGTAAACTTTATGTTAACATGATAATATGTAGAAACTAGCAAATAATAGTGTCACTTAAAAGGGCAATGTAAATAATCACCTTACCGTTGGTAATTGATTTGATTTCGAACAAAGAAATGTTTGTATTCAGCGAGTCCATCCTCAAAGGCAATGCTGCAACAGAATGATTATCATTAATTTGAGGTTACAGTTTTCTTTATCCTTCATTAAGTTCCGTTTTGAACCTATTACTAGTGACAATCGAGAAGAAAGACCTGTTTAATATCGAAACTGAGATTCAGCGGAGTAGGCGATAATTTGTGACAGACAAGAATACAAAAACTGTTATGTAACTTTTTGTTAACGACTGTACAATACGTTATAAAGAGATATACACCTTAATGCATTGAAACAGAGCGTGATGTAGAAATATAGGGGGTACGCTTCCGCGCACATTAGCTGAACGATCGTTTTACACGGCATTAGGTAAATTATAAGCTCGACTGGTCGACACACGATATGTTTGCGCCAAGTCTCGCCTCTAACATACTATAAAATAGTCACAACATAAAGGTCTCTGTTTGCTGTTTCCATTAAATTAATATGTAAGATCTTAACCGATTACTAGGAATCTCATAGTAAACATATTAATTTAAATATAATCGCAAATAATAATTTAACAGACAAAGTAATAAAGATGTTATCATCTCGGATGGAAAAGCAACAACTTTGCTTTATTATCTATCCTTAAAAAAGTTGGAAGACACTAATTAGTAAATATTTTTGGCATAACAATTTTAAAAACAATCTTTTAAAATTTTTGATATTTAATTAATTTAATTAGTTTAATTAGGCATGTCACCATCAATATCGATATTTGTTTTCTTTGTTTTTCTTTAACTGTTTATTAGATTATAGCATTATTATGTAAAAAAATGAACATTGCTGAGTGAATCTAATATTGTAACTGGCAATATAGAGTTTTCACCTCATCTAGGTATATGTTGCCACGCTGGCAACCCAGCGCACAGGTCGCGGTGTCAGATTGCGAACGCTCCTAAATTTACTCTAGCTCCCGCCATTAAAAGCGTTTATGTTATATTGGATATCACAATATTATCGGCAAAGCATGGATTACATTACACGCCTCACAATGGTGACGTTCTGTTGGGTTTTATTACCAATTTTGTAATGGCTTTTAATATTTCTTTAAGCTTGAAACATATATAGATGGTGGTTCATTGGGCTTCGGTATATTTACAAATCATATTTCCTATTTTCAACGACTGAAACGAAGTACTTATTTTACTTGATAAATCCTTAATTCCATTTTGTTACAGAGTCTAAAATATGTTAGGGATGTCCAGAGCCTAATTAACTATGGTTGCCTAATACGGGTTGACTTCACAAATATCTTTGAATTTCTCTGATATTTTCACTTTGCATCACCTTTTCCTTCACCTTAGAACGTTGCGTAAATGTACATATGAAATTCGAAAAACTTTCCTGACCTGTAGATTACAAATCAAGTATTTAATCCCCTAGCCACTGATGCTCTTAATATAATTTATTTTATTTGAAACATGGTAACATTGATATCAGGCGTATCAGTGTTACCCTTTCCACGAATTTACTAACGAGTTTTACATTATGGATGAAATTCGAAATTTGAATATGTGCTGTTTATTCATTACGAATGTTCAGGGCAGTTATCCGATATTTGCAGACACATCATCGGCCGTCGGGCGAATGCGGTGGCGAAATATTTGATCGGCAAAAGCGAACTAATGGGCGCAGTTTTACCTACAATAGGGTAACCATTCGCACTGAACAATAGTCAGGAAAGACTAAAAGTTTCCTTAGTTATTTACCGATAATGTTTTCTTTTATCATTAAAATTCAGTAAACTGTATTATTAAAAAAACATACAGACGAATTGAACACCTTATTTTTTAATTCTGTTTAACACAAAGTAGATAAGTAAATAAGTATCACTGATACAGATAGGTGGAAATATATGTTAATTTGCATTGTATAACGAAGAAAAACATTGTTGATTTATTTTCTGAATAACTAGAGTTTTCAAAAGTTTACCACTTTTGGTTAACATATAAAATGATAATGTCCGTTTACATAAGTAAAATATGGTAACCCTACATTCGGCAGCAACGTGTGTTCGGAATATCGAGTTTTGAGGTGATAATTATTACCCCGCACAGCGCTGGCAACACTGGCGTAAAATGAAACGCCGGGGAACGGTTCGTACGTCTGGCTTAAAATGTATTATTTTAACAGACGGTTGCTAATAAAATATATTATTATTTGATTTAAATAAAAGGAGTTTAATTAATTATATTCATGTTGCCAAATATTCACATAAAATTTGATTACACTCACAAAGAAATCACTTTTTTTAACAAATATCAATGGTTTAAAAACATCTGTAAAAATGTAATGAATGTGGCATTTACTAAAACCAAATTATTAATTAAAACCTATATTCATAGACTAAAAACCACGTTAAACTAATCTTCAATTTTTTAAATAAAAATGTGTCTAAACTAGCTGCTCTGTGTAACTGGACACCAATTATCTCCGCGTTGGTCATCAGCTTTCTCATGAAATATTAGCTACGTACACAGGATATTGTCACTACAGAGGCTGCCTGGTTAAGGATTAATTAATACAGGTTATACTATATCAAAGATATCCCGTGGCCGCATAATGAAGGTGTTATTGAAGACAACGATATCCGATACTGCGCCCCTCTGTTACGTCTAGACACATCGCTTTTATCTATACTATTATAATAAAGCGTAAACACACACTTCTTTGTTGCCTAAGATGTCACCAATTACAGCATATTTTTAATAACTCTTTTTTTTAATAAAAAAAAACCCTAAACTTTAGGCTATATATTTTCACGCCATTAAATTTAGGGGGTAAATATTTTGGATAAAAACCCTAATGTGGGAAAAAGACCATAAGTTGCTACCAACATCAAGGAAGCAAGGTTGCCATGGTTTGTCATGTCATGTCATTTTGACATTTGCAATTGATAATTTGAGACATGTAAATTATCATACTAATTGTTGCTCGAGACTTCGGTCGCGTAAAAAAATAACGAAATATAAATTGCTTAAGTTACTCATAGATAACATATTTAATGGTAAAAGAATTTTTGAAATCGGCGCATTGGTTATTGCGTTATTTCTATGCATACAAAAAACAAATCTTACCTCTTTATAATATCAGTAGATACGAGTATGGATAAATGCGAAAATTTAGATGGCTGGATGGATGTGACCTAAACTTCTGAACGGATTTCGATTAAATTTGGCATAGATGTAGAGGACAGTTTGGAAGAACACATAGGCTACTTATTTTTTTTTACTTCCACGCGAATGGTTGCGAGCTAAAACTAGTCACTATAGAAGCTATCGTTATCATCGATTTTAGTTATATTTTATAAATAGTTATTTAAAAGCGACACAGATGTCGTTGGACGTAAATCCTTATGTATCACGTTTTATATTTATTTACCAATTTATACGCAGTCGTTGCCAGTAAAAATATTCCGTAAGGAGGTCGCATGCGCCACTATTTATTGTTTGTGTCGCCGTAAGATTGTGAACACGGCAATTTTATACTCTGACCAATAATGTCCCAATTTATTCTTTCAAAAACATCCTTTTAATAACAAAAGTAACCTATGATAGACTTCCAATTCAAAAAGGCAAATTGTTAAATTAAGGATATTTGTGTATGGTTAGTTAATTTACACGTTTGTCTGCTTTGATTAATGCTGAAGAGGTTATAAAACGACAGACTTTAAAATTTTACAGTGACATTATTGCACTTTATAAATGCACACAAGAGTATTATTATCGTGTATAATTCAAGATGTACTTTTAAAGTCCACTTGAAATAAGGTCGGTCGTGTTGATTTACGATATATTACGATTTGTTGAAAATCTTCGCTTAAGTTTACTGATTTATTAAGATTTCAAAATGTTATTAAAATAGAAACAAATAATATTACTGGCTAGCTTTCGCCTGCGACTCCGTGTGCGCGGAATTGAAAAAAACAAAAATGAATAGCTTATGTGTTCTTCCAGACTATCTTCTACAATTACACCAAATTGCATCGAAATCCGTTTAGCCGTTTAGGCTACAAACTCTAACAAACATCCATCGATCTAAACTACTAATGGTTAAACGTAGTTGGGAAACCGGCCATTAATAAATTAAGTCCGTATAAATCTATATCTATACTTCTATACTAATATAAAGATGAATTGTATTTTTGTATGTATTGAAATAAATCAACAACTACTTGGCCAATTTCAAAACTTCTTTCACCATTAAACAGCTACGTTATATGAGTAACATGCTATATTTTTACTATTTTTTGCAGGGGCAAAGTCACGAGCAACAGCGAGTGATTCAAATCATAACAGAAGTTGATTTTCCAGGAATTCGCGGAGACGGCAATGAACGAACTGCTGGGCTGGTACGGCTACGAGCGGCTGGAACTGAGGAGATGGGCGGCTTCGCGAGCACGCGACACAAACAGCCCTGAACAGGCCGCGGAACAGAAGAACAAAGGTATGGAGGATCCTGATTAATGTACCTTTGTGTACAATGTTTTAGATAAAATTTAAATATTATAAAGCCACCTTCATCAAAAGCCGGCAACGTCAATTAAGGCGCCACCTAAATTCATAATTTTACGGGAAGTATGACCCTTAAGGTGCATTCAAACAAATGTCTAAATTAGACAAATACGAACGTTTACACTTTAGATTCTTTACAATGTACAAAAACAAATACATATGTAAACCTATGTAAAAATGGTACATTTTTAAGGTTATTTGCAAATAAAGAATTAATTACTACTACACAGCGTCTAAACAACAAAAAATACAAAAAGGTGATATATTTTGTCACGTCATTAATTTTGATTTTACATTAATATACAAAAATTGAAATGTAACAATTCATAGAAATAGACGTGAAAATACCAAGAAACAAGCCCTTGTGGGATCGCAGCTGTATTTCTGTGAATTTCCGAACGCCCTCCCGCGCTTTTACGTTTATAGCGGGAAAAAGACAGATTACGATCTCATTATATCAACATTATTTCGATGTAGTTTTTGTATTACATTTCTTTGAACCGAATACTATTAAAACGTATTTTAATATTAATATCCGATATTTATAAAGTTAACTAGTTTTCGCCTTCGACTCCGTTCGCGTGGAATAAAAAAAAACAAAAGTGAATAGCCTATGTGTTCTTCCTGATTATCCTCTACATGTATATTAATTTTGATCGAAATCGGTTCAGCCGTTTAGGCTACAAACTCTAACAAACATCCATCCATCCATCTAAAGTTTCGCATTTATAACATTAGTATGATTTGATGGTTTCCGAAGAATTAAATATGACAATTTCAATTGTAAATTAAAAGTTTACAGTGAATATTATGTCTTAACATTAAATAATACAAGTTTTTTTTTTTATTTATTTTCATGAATCAGTTTTTTAACACCAAAAGCTGTGTTTACCTGTAACGTTATTTAAGAACCTGACGCCGCAATCATACTATTCCTAATGAGCGTGCCGCGAATTCGCTTTGTATGTCCTCGAGTGTACCACACCTAGGGTTGTCAATTTATAATTACAGTGGTACATGTACTATCAACATCCCGTTTCTCATTGAAAATACAAAGATAGCAATCTTACTATCACGTCATACTAAAATTATAAATGAAAAAGTTAACAAGTATGCATGTTTTATACTTCGTATTTTTAAGATTTCATGGTTTAGAATTTGAATCTCAGTGAAAGTACACATTTAAAACATACTTTAAAAGTACATATAGGCTACTGGTTATTTTAATTCCACGCGGACAAAATTGTAAGTTGTAATTCTACGTTGTTTCCTCTTGAAATTACTGAAAATATTGGTAATTTATTTAATTGAGTTGGATATTGATTATTTCTAAAAATCGACAACCCTATTCCCAGTATCGGTACGTAGGAGTACGTCGGGAATGAAAACGTATAAGCCTTGCGGTTAAAACGTGATTATTAGGAGAGCATAGTGTTACCATATCACGTTACATAGACTCTTCTGAGAGGCGGAGGGGGACGGGGAACGCGGGGTACGGGCAAGGGGGGGGGCAATCTGTACTCGTGTATAATTGCCGGGTAAGTTTTCCTAGAAAACTTGTTAAAACGTTTTCTAATTAACAACTTCTTATTGAAGTATACGATATGAAATTGATAGTCAATCAACACAGCTTATGAATAAAGGAATATTTAGTACTCTAACCTTTTTCTTAAAGAGAATAATGTTTACAGTATCATCAGCATCCTTCTTATCCTACTGGGTCGGTACAACAGGTTTTTGTCCTCCACATGACACTATCATACGTCATCTCAGTCATCACTCCCTTTTTGATCATGTCACCTTTCACGCAATCCATCTCTTTCTATGTCTACCTTTACCGGTGTACCCTTCCACATTCATAACTAACGTTCTCCTTGTAACATGCAATTCATCCCTCCTCATAATGCCCATACCATGCTAACCTTTTACTTCTTACTTTCTCTACCACTGGGGCTACTCTCAAACTTCCTCTAATATACTCGATATGTAGGGTTTTTTCTGAAGACAAATGGACACTCGATCTTTTTTTATCCTATTTTATTTGTATAAGAAATATTGCAATAAACAATTAATATTAACAGCTGTAGACTATTTTTGTATTAGTAATAATAGTCACGTAAAACGATATTCAATGTAAACCTATTCTATAAATCGAAGGGCTCGAATGTCCCGGCTAACTCGATACTAAATCGTTAGTCCAATAGAAATTATAAGGCCCATAACAAGGTATCAGATCAGGATAAATGCGGACAGTCCTCGGTAATGAGAGCTTATCCCCCTCTCGAGTTTTATCTTACCAAATTTAACGAAACGATGAAAAAAATAATTATTCGTTTCTGTTACGATTTCATTTAATAAAACATACAGACGACTTGAGTACCTCCTTCTATTAGGATGTCAATGATTTTAATGAAGAACGATATTCAAAGAAAGGAAATTGAATATTCGAATGGTTTTAACTGTAGGTAATCTCTAACAACTTATAAAAGAAAAAGAACCTCATCATTTTGCAGTCTTTTAAAACATTGCAGATGTCTATGGTCATTAGTCTGCGTTAGATAGTACCACTTGGTCGTTTCCTATCTTCTATCTAGTATTGAAATTCACTACTAACGAGATAAATATTAGTTTGAATTAAAATAAATTACCCGGTCGCTTGGTTCTTGTTGTAAGTTAATTCAAGCGTGGAGTGTAAGCAATAATTAATACTAATCGCATCATGCAAACGTTTACTCGCTCTGTTTAATTAAGTTCTAATCGAAAGATGGCGCTATTTTACAATGTACCTACGTCACAACAGTCAACTTAATCCAATCAGTAAAGCTTGTATTTTTTTAAATTAACTATCTTTTGTTCAATTTCAGACGAGTGTTCGTGGTGCAACAAGAGTATCGGCAGCGAAAGCGGCGCGTTACAACATGCCGGCGCCGCATTCTGCTCCGAACTGTGCTTCAGCCAGTCCCGACGAGCCAACTTCAAGCGTGCCAAGACTTGCGACTGGTGTCGGCATGTGCGACACACTGTAGCCTACGTTGACTTCCAGGTAGCAGCTATGTTCTTAAAAATACAAATATGTAAAAAGTTTCCTAGCGGGGAACCTACTAATAAAAAGAATCACTTAAAACTTGTCTTTTCTTACTGATGTATAGGGTATTTTAATTGTTTTATTAAGTTTTTAATTTCACTTTTCAGGATGGAGCCACACAACTGCAGTTCTGCTCAGACAAATGTCTAAACCAATATAAGATGCACATCTTCTGTCGCGAGACCCAGGCGCACCTCGACCTCAACCCTCACCTCGTGAGCGCCGCCTCTTCCACCAACCTCATCACACCGGAGCTCTGGCTCAAGAACTGCAAGAGCAGATCTGTGTCTCCCACATCCGAGAGATCCGCCTCACCGAATATCGAGAACTTAAGTATGAAAATAACCGAAAAAGCGGATCACAACTCTGCGAGAAAATCTCCAATGCCGATAATAACCGTCGCCCCGGCGGCGAAACTGATGAATCCGAAGACTACTGAAGAGAAAACGCAAAAATCACCAGAGTTGAAAAAAGACAGAACTAAAATGAACACACGCAAGCGTAGAACATCCAAATGCTCGGCTACCGTGACGTCACAGAACTTGCGACAGCATAATACGACACCAAAAGCTCAGGACTTGCGGCTTTGCAGTCCTTCGCTAGACGGCTCCTCGCCTAATTCTACTATCGGCACAGCCGGGAACAGCGTCATTCACTCGCCTCCACATCCTATAAATCATTCAGCACCACCCCCCTTCAATCCTATATTCGGAATGCCTCCGGTTTTCGAGCCTCCTCCACAAATAAACGATCACAGATACATGTTCCAACCTAGGTTAGGATTCATGCCACGACCTGGTTTGATGCCGGAACGACCTCCAATCATGCCTGTAAACTTCGCTCAACCTCTCGGTCAACCTCCGCCTGTCACAGTCTTAGTTCCTTATCCAGTCATATTACCGATACCACTCCCCATTCCCATTCCAATTCCATTAACGTCCTTCATACAAGCGCATTTGAGCAAAGTGAAAAAGGAAACTACAACAGAAGACTCAGAGGGTCCTCTAGATTTCACAATAAACGGTGATAAAAGAAAAGCTTCCAACACAACAGAAGCTGAAAACATCGAAATCCAAGCAGCTATCCAACAGACGTTACAACCAATTGTTGAAGAAAACGAGAGAACGGATGAAAAAAACGATACTAACGAATGTAAGAATCCAGAACAAACTTTGCCCAAGTTTAAAATAACTAGGCTAAGTAATAAGATGGCGAAAATCGTCTCCAAAACAAGAGAACCTGCAGAATCTACGAGACCTTTGCGGAAACGACGAAGACTAGTAGAAGTTGCTACAGAAGACGATTCAATCATTCCTAAAAGTAGGAAAACTGTTGAAGTCTAAGAAAAATTTTAAATATCAGTTAGGTTTAAGCTTTTTTAAATACATATCACAATTGCATGATAGGAACTGAGTTCAGTGTACTTTCAAACAGCTAGTCTTAGGTTTAAGATTTATCAATTCTTCATATACTTAGTTAAGTTATTAGCACTATTAATGTGATATTAGTAACATAATTTTAATTCAATGTAAAATTAAATAATTAAATACTACCTTTTCGCATTTTTTTTCCGATCACACTGGTAAAGGACTGGCAAAATGAGATCTTACAGAATGTGACCACTAGATGGAGCTAAACGCTTGACCTTAGAACCTAGTCTAAATAAATTTGTATATCTTATATATCAATTTACACATTAATGTTATAGATCTATAGGCGATTTAATTTTTTTTGTTTTTTTTTTGGTGGAAAGTGATACAATTCGTAAACTCAGATAATATATAATATAGAATTTTCAAAAGACCAATTCTGCGTTTACTTGATTAATAGATATTTTTAATAAAATAATATTTAGTGATAAAAATTGTTAGATTAGAAACTTTAGCTACCGCCATCTATGAGCGAGTGCATAAACTAAATGACCAAAAATTTAATTTCTTTTTCGTATGGCTTACTATACAAGGTTGGTATTTAAACAGATATCAAATACCATTCATTACTTACACATGTAGTAGTCATAGCGAAGGTTCAGCTATTCCTAGCGTGCAAACGACACATGTTTGCATTGAACAAGGTAATTTTATCAGCTGTAAAAACATTAAAATGTGTCACTGTTTGAGTCAATGTAGGTTACAATTGTGCAAACACCAATACCTTAGTTAAACCAGACTCATATTATTTGAACTAGTACTCATATAAACTGCTATAAAAAAAAAAACGAAACAGGGTAATTTTGCCCGGTTTCGGCACAAATCTCATACAAAATTACCTATGTCGGTACACTTTTACAAACTTTCGTGTTAGGTCCTTGACTGCCAGTCTCAGAACTGTCTCTATTTTGGTTTATATAGTTCTATTGAATAGGTAGGAAAAAAAAAACATGTAAATTCAAAGCTTTAATGTCTTAAAAACATTGCTTAAATCATTCAGAGAAAATAATCTTTTCCATCATCAACAAATTACTCTTAGCAATACAAGTTGACTGCACAAAATGGATGTTTCTTAAAACTGAGTTTCCACTGGAGAAACATGTACAGAAACATATACGTCTTATTCCTGATGGAAAATGGATGTTTTTATACAAATGTCAGCAGTGGAAACACAATACATCTGTTTTCATTTGTACAAAACAAAAATTGAGATCCAATTGAAATTATTTGAAATAAAAATCACATTCTAATAAAAATTTCGTTTAAAATTAAAGGATTTGATATTTCTAAATACATTGAAAACATAAAGGCAATTCTGGCGAATATAACACAAACAACGATACAATTATTTTATGTAAAGGTGACTACATTGTTTAAATAAAAAAATTTGAACATTTAACACTTCAAAAGCCTGCATAGACTATCGTAAGTCACAATTTGGTATTCACACCTTATTTTAAGAGTTTTTAATTATCTTGAAAAATATAAATTTCCATACAAAGTAATATTACAAAGAACTGAATTTTGGTTTGAAATATCAAATCGAAACCATTGTAAAAAACATACAGACATATTGAACACCTCCTTCTTTTGGTAATTTGGTCAAGAAATATTAGTAAATTAACAATATTCTCATATATCATAAAAATAATCTGAAATCGCTTTGGATTTTCAATAATCTAGTCCAAAAACTGTAGAATATAAGAAAAATATTTATATTGAATTTGATAAAAACCTTTTGTTACATTAGTTACCATATTTAATTATTTATGCCAATTTTTTACACATTCCGAAAAGGTTTATATCCAATTCACCACAAATTTTGCTCGAAAACATTATTTTTTTCATTTAATATAGACACCTCAACACAAAATAAAGCTTTGTATCTACTGTTTATTGTTATATAGGTCCCAAAGAGTAATAGCTCCATCAAGGCCACCAGCTGCCATAATATGAGCATTCCATAGAGAAACTTTCTCCGTAGAATAAACAACATCCTGTATCGCTTGTCTATGCTCGGTCAGTACAACTAAAGGCCGGAGTGAAAACCAGGAGAATATACGAATATGTCCATCCCAACCGCCAGAAACGAAAACTTTTCCATCCATACGAGATTGTACCTTGTTAATACCAGGGTTTTTTATAGCGACATCCAATTTGTGAGTCAAACTCAAGTCTTTTCTTCCTATATTAAATATTTGCACCATGTTCGAGGCGTTTCCAATTATACCCCTCTGTTGTTCAACGTGAAAGTCAACAGACATTGGACATTCTTTAGTCTGCAACTTGCTGACACATTGACTAGTATTAAGATCCCATAGGAGCAGCCATCCTGACTCATAGCCTACGATGAGGCAAGGCTTCTCACTAGTTAATTCAACATACTTCATGCACATCGGATCACCGAGTTTAGGTGAAGTGTTTGGTGTAAGGGAACCCACTTTCTCTCCGGAAAAATTATATATCGTGACACAGGATTCCCTATCAGGTACGTAAAGTGTTTCGAGTTTTGTGTTGGCTTCGAAGCGACAAAAACCAGGGTAGTCCAAATCAATTAAAGTTACTTCTTTGTATCCAGAGTTGGTTAAATCGAATATTTTGAATTTACCACCCTTCTCTTGAGTTATGAGTTGGTTGTCGGTGTGAAGGAGATGGAGGATGGGAGCTTGACCTACTTTGATTTTTTGTTGCACCCGGTTTGTCTGAAAAATATAAAATCTCTTAACACTTCCACTGACTCATTAGGCAGCATTTTTTGTAAAAGGTTTAACAGTTAATTAATAGGAAGAAAGAAAATTAGAAGCAAAATAGAATAAAAAACATCACTATAATCTAATAAGAATTTTTAAATAATTATATTACAATTATGTCTTATTGGATATGAAATAAATCAAAATACAAAAGTTAGAATTATTAACAAACTGAATAAACTAAATCCACATCTACCCATTCTTAGTGCAAACAAGTATTATGGTCAAAACAAATATTTAAATTCAGGTTGCAAAACATCGCCAGTAGGCAACGGAAATATTTCTAGGTCAACAAATGAGGGTAGTAAACAAAGGAATACGCAACTGACGAAACATTCATAGCGAATGATTCAGATATTTATCACGACTTTTCTACGCAGATTAGTTTCACAGATTGATCTCCTTGGAATATTTAATGTTACCTGAAGGTTGTATGCATAAACATATCCATTTTTTGAACCGGCTAGTAACCTCTCCAGTCCGCCGGGAAGAAAGCTGAACGCCAACGAATACACTGGCGAATTGTCGACATTCCGGATGGTATAAACTGGGTCTGGTGGTAGCAGTGCCATGTCTGGTCAAGCTCGAACCGAAATATTTGGTCGGAATATAAAAACAAAAAGAATATTAAAATTAATCAAGCCATCAGAAACTAAACCCAACTACGCACAACACAAAACTGACACAAAAACAAGAAAGTTTTCTAACTGACGTTTAAATTTTGCATGCGTTCAAAATACAAATTAATTTTTAGATTTACTTTGAATATTTAAAACAACTCCATAGTATAAAAGAAGTAAAATTTTAATTTAATATAAGTCTTATTGGATAAAATAATAAAAATCATTACAACTTGAGCAGTGATCAAATACAAATTATTCGTGGGTGAGAAGCGGGTAAAAATGGTAACTTTAATTTTTAATGACCAACACTGTGCCCTAATTTGTCAGATGTCCGTCAAGCACTGCGACAACTCAAAATTCTCGTGAAGCTTCACCTTTGTATATAGTGTTTTACAAATTTACGAAGTTTTGAATGAGAGCCAATCGATTGTACCTAATAATGGGTGCCATATGTAAATTAAGAATACTAATTTAATCGTCGAAATCACAAATGGCTACGGAGACGCTTTTAAAAACGAACAAGCATTCAAAGTATATATCATATAGGAAAATTTTGTATCATAGGTTTTTTGTTGGCCTACTATTGTTTATAGTAGTGTCTCTTGTGTTTACTGTGCTTTTTAATATTTACGCGGGAAGTTCGCCACGGACCGAAATTTACGAACCAGTGAGCTTGGATCTAGTGAGTTTACAAGTGACAAAAATTAAACCGAACGCACCTTATTCGGCGCCTCGCTTTTCAAATTGTACATATTGGAGTTGTTTTAACGTTTACAAATGCGGGAGAGGCGGCCACGATAAGATAACTATCTACATTTACCCGTTAAAAGAGTATAGAACAGAAGAAGATAGACTTATATCGCAATTGTCTAAGGAGTTTTACGAAATCCTAGATACGATAAGACATAGTAAGTATTACACAGCGAATCCTGAGGAGGCTTGTTTGTTGGTGCCCAGCATAGACACATTGAACCAAAATACATTTTCAAGTAAACATGTGTCTCAGGCATTGCAATCTCTACAATTGTAAGTATATATTATAAAATCATACATATTACTTTATCTATAAATGCTTGTCTAAATTCTAGAAAAAGTCTTAAATAACATTTTGTTACTTTTTATCATTTGAGATGTATTTGAAATTTGTCAAGGTAGAGAAAGTAAAAAGGAAAGGATGCAAAACTTTTTGACAATATTCAGAACCTCTACTATATTAATAGTTTGTCCACAATTTGTATAGATAATCTTATTTGCTATTAAATGACTATGTTATGTGAGTCTACTTCTATTTCTAGTTCAGGCCTTATGCAAATGTAGTTACATAGTAAATCTTACTCATTAGTATACTGTTAACAATGTGTTTTTGTAGAAATAGATTTTGCCTGCAACTTTGTCTACTTGGAATTAAAAAAAAAACAATACTAGCTTATGTGTTCTATGTTCTACATCTGTGCCAAATTTCACTAAGATCTGTTAAGCCATTTTAAAATACATAACAAACATCCATCCAAACTAGCATTTATATTATTAGTTTTAAGTATTACAATTTCTTTTAGCTGGAATAATGGAGAAAACCATCTCATATTCAACATGTTACCGGGCAATGTGCCCAATTACGAAACAGTTGTCGATCTCAACACAAGCAAAGCTATTATAGCAGGATCTGGTTTCAATACATGGACTTTTCGATATGGATTTGATATTTCATTACCTTTATACAGCGACGTTGCCAGAGGAATTGACAATACTCAGCCGGAACAGAAGAATTACTTAATAATATCCACACAGCAGAATATTCCAGAAGATTATCTAGCGGAGTTACAAAATATAGCATCTTCATCAAACGATTTATTATTACTAGGCAATTGTAAGATGGATTCAAATAGAATAGATCATACGAAACGCTGTGAATACACGACTGGTAGAATGTTTAACTATCCAGATATATTAAAAGAGGGTATGTTCTGTCTGGTTGTTCGTAGCGCTAGACTGACTCAGTCTGTGTTAATGGATATACTGGCTTCGCAATGTATTCCTATAATAATAGCAGATACAATAGTCCTGCCATTTAATTCTCATGTTGACTGGCATCGTTTATCATTGTATTTGCCTGAAGATAATATAAAGAATCTATTGAGAATAGTCCATTCTGTAAGCAAGGAGAGACGTGGAGAGCTATATTGGCAGCTAAGATGGGTCTATGAGAGATATTTTGCGACTATCGAAAAGATTACTTTGACAATGTTGGAAATATTGAATGAAAAGGTGTTCCCTTTAGCTGCTAGAATGTATGAGGAATGGAATATGCCAGAACATTTGGTGAGTCTATTTAAATACATTTTAAGCCTATATCAGTTCACAGCTGAACATAAATTTTCAGCTATGATTTCCATAGTAGTAGAGTAAAGTAAATAACTTCAATTTTAACAAATTTTCATAGTCATATTTGATTAAAAACTGCAATGTAACAACTCATTTCACTTTCTTTATTACCTATTTCTAACCAACTTCAAAATGGATGTTTTCAATTTGTCTGTATTTTTTCCCCGATATATGCAACTCCAGTATGTTAAAAAAATAATTATTTTATCTATTCTCTATCTCTTTCTAACATTCCTTTCTAACAGTTGGTACTTGAAATGTTCCTATTATGTTAATGTTTATGCCTTTATATCTGTATTATGGTTTTTGGTCAAATAAAATCAAGTAATAGAACAATATCCGATATTTCCATCACATATTTATTTTACACGTTCGATTGTTATCAGACAATTTATATTTTGGTGGGACATGCCCTTAATTAAAAAAATCTTAGAGAAATAACATCTTAAACCAGCATATTCTCTTTATTTTATTTAGTATGGTCCAGTGAACCCTCTGTTCCTGCCAGTGACCGCGCCAAAGTCCCCGGGTTTCACCGCGGTCATCCTCACGTACGATCGTGTGGAGAGTCTCTTCACCCTCATCAGGAAGCTGGTGCGGACGCCCAGCCTCGCCAAGATACTGGTCATCTGGAACAACCAGAATAAACCGCCGCCGCCTTGTAAGTTCACTTTTTGTGACTAACTTCAATAAGGAGGTTCTTTTATGTTTGTATATCGATTACTCTGAGATTTATGGTCTGATTTACGTGATTCTTTTTTTGTTTGATGCGGAATAGCTGCTATTTTGTTCTTATATTTAAAACTATCAGGGTAGTTTTTGAGTTTTTCATAAAAAAGCGTATTCATCGGAAATTGCTGTCTTAAAGTCGGTTTCCGTTTTTTGTTCAAAATATAAGTATAGCTACTAAATTGCGTGACAATGAAAAAATGCTTTTATTGGAAAAAAAATTATAATCTACAGATTATGACTGATTTATCGAAATAGAAAATAATTCAACACAGTGTTAAATAAATAGTTTCCCTAAAAGTAAATTAAAAAACAGATTTTTACTACGTCAGTACGATAGACAACATATTTTCGCGTATTCGAAAAACGGGACATCTAAGCCATATATTCACGTAATAGCTTTGTAACTACCGTAGTTGAGGAAAAAAGTAATTTGTCAAGTGTCTAAAATAAAATTCAGCGTAAATGTAGGTAGAAACGTAACTAACTCGAACAAAGTTCTATTGTGAAGTTATATCTCTAAAAACGTCTAACTATTTAGCCCAGTTCTACTTCCATTCATCATTGTAGACAATAAATTTCTTTAGACTTTAGAGACTGAAGAGGTTCTATTTAAATCTATTCTTCTATACTAATATAATAAAGCGTAAACACACTACTTCGTGGCGTAGGATGTCAGCAATTACAGCATATTTTTGAATAATTCTGTCTTTGATAAAAAGCCCTATACTTACGACACGCTTTAGGCTATATGTTCTAACGCTATTGAACTTAGGGGATAAATAAATTGGAAAAAAACCTTCATGTGGGAAAGGGACCATAAACTACATGCTGTCAACATTATGATAACGGAAATAAAACGGTAAAAAATAAAGTTTTTTATAATTCCTTGCGGGTGAATCCGCACGGGAACAGCTAGTTAGTAATAAAAGTGGTACGTTTTAATAAGATATCTTTTCTTATTACTGTTTGAAAGCGCCTCAAGTTATGCAATATGCCACGGGCACGGCTGAATGCCATCAAACAAACTAGACACGCAAACTGAATGGCATCATTTACATTTATTCAAATATAGCCAACCATATCTTTAAAAACTTCCCTTACAAAGTCATTAAAGTGCTTTATTAAAAGCCGAATTCAGACTTGTATAATACTTAAAAAGATCTTTAGTGGATTTTTTATTTTAAATCTAACTTAAAGACGCTTTTAGTGACCATTGACTCACTCTGAGTAGCACGTTGGAACTTGCGAACTGTTGACCTTTGTGCCTTAGGTCACGCACTAATCTATCATAGTCCGAACGTCCATTAGTGTTCAACTTAGATGTATGCAAAAAGCAAATCAAAGCGGCCCACAACAGCCCTTAAGTCAAGTCTTAAAGTTAGCGCTATTGGCGTCTAGCCAACTTAAAATGCCGACCAAGTATTGCCTCTTTATAGCAACTATCGGCCACAATAAAAATTGTTAAAGAAAAAAAGAAAAGTCCCCATTTTTAATTTCTACGTACAAGTATTACTAATTTGGCTACCACAATAGGATTGTCGTATAATTCTGTACAGTAAAGGAATTAAATCCACTATCCACTATACCGTGGGCTGCAGGATATATCAGTTACTTTTCGTCTTTTATAGAAGACTAGCTGTTCCCGTGCGGTATCACCCGCAAGAAATTTTAAAAACTTTATTTCATTGTTTACATGTGCGTAATGTCAAAGTCAAATGCATAAATGACAACCTTGGTTCCTTGATGTTGGCAGCAACTTATGGTCTCTTCCCCACATTAGGGTTTTTATCCAAAAATATACCCCCTAAGTTTAATAGAGTGAAAATATATAGCATAAAGCGTGACGTAAGTGTAGGGCGATTTATTAAAAAAACGATTATTCATGATAATATGCTGTAATTGCTGACATCTTAGACAACAAAGAAGTGTGTGTTTACGCTTTATTATAATTGTATAGATATAGATTGCCCTATGTTAATGTCTTATCTATAAGCCATTGATCCAAACGGTTGAATGTACATGGAGCGATAGATTTGTTACTAAGAAAGTCCCTTAGTATATAAGACAATCTACAGAACAGCTCAACGGATCGTAATGAAAGTAACAAAGTAGAATAGTATGGAATAGTCTAGAATAGTCGAAATCTACACTGAAAGAGAACTCGCACATCTTGGACTAAACTATCGCACAACTTTTTAATCGCTCTTTGATTACTATGAGCTTATATGTGCAACTAAACAGTTGAATTGGCTGCGAGACAATCGACAATCGCACAACAGTGTGCGATAGTTTAGTCAATGGTGTCCGCTCTAAATAGCTTTCCAATAACAGTGACATTTGGCCAAAGCCTATCCAAAACATTTACATTGCTACTAGTTGGATGGATTCCAGACGGATTCTCAGGTATATACGTATTCACCTGCCTTCTAAAGCCTCCATATTTCGAATTCGAAACGGAAACATTAGGGGTTTAGGTTAAGACGGTATATTGTGTTTGCAGAATTATTTAAGTTTGTTTCCGTTTGGTGCAATGTATTACAGAACATTTAAAAATCTGTATAATTATGTTTTAATGTTAACTTATTTTTTGCTTTGATAAATTAAAAAAAAATGATTACGTAATAAAACGTCACGTGTTAGTTTTTTTCAGTTATATAAAAACAAACGTATTATTTAAACAAGCGCGATATTCTTTTTGGGGTCACTGGTGTAAATGCTTGCATGAATATTCCTTTAAAATTGTTTGGTAAACAATTACCGATAATTGTGTTGTTATTCCGATATAAAATTACACGAATTTATTGACGAAATTCTGTGTTTCGTAGTCTTACGTCCGCACCCAGAGTCCTTACCGGCCCTTTGTTGTACATTTCGTTCACTAAATCTATACTCTATACTAATATAATAAAGCGTAAACACACACTTCTTTGTGGCGTAAGATGTTAGCATCACAGCATATTTTTGAATAATTCTTTTTTTAATGAAAAGCCCTACACTTAGGTCACGCTTTAGGCTATATATTTTTACGACATTAAACTTAGGTTGCAAATAAATTGAACAAACACTCTAATGTGGGAAAGAGAACATAAGCTGCTGCTATTTTGACATTTGTAATTGAGAGTTTGACACAAGTTAACAATAAAATAAAGTTTTTATAACTTCATGCGGATGAAGCCGCACGGGAACAGCTAGTCTTACTAATATTATAAATGCGAAAGTTTAGATGACTGGATGTTTGTTGACTAAACTACTAAACAAATCTCGATAAAATTTGGCATAGATGTAGAGGATAGTCTGGAAGAACACATAGGTTACTTTTTTTTAATATCACGCAGACGAAGTCGTAGACGAAAGCTATACAATACGCCGTCAATGATTATTTAACGACTGAAATGTTCAGTTACTGTTACAAGCATCATTTTACGTTTCTTCCTTTGAATCCTATTCCTTCGCGGATACTTGTTATGGATGTTGGCTAGACTGTATTTGTAGAAACAAAATCCGCCATTAAAGTGATTCAAGACATAAACATGCAATGTGACTAGTATCCACATCACAAATGAACTAAAAATAACCTTATTTGTTAGTAGTTGAAGTCTATTTTAGAACTGATGTAATTCATCAGTCTTATAAACGCAATTTAAAGCCACTGTTGCATATTTACTTTGGCTTTCCTTCTTTGTCATGTTTACATTGTTGCGTTGTGCTGATGTGCATTTTAAAAATAACATGTTTTTATTGAGCATAGATAATTAATTTTTTGTAACGGTCTGTATTTCTATTAATGAGTTAAGTGTAATTTGAAGAACGAGGCTTATATTTCATTTTTTTGTTATATAAATTAATTAATGTATGTAAAATGTAGCTGTAATAATAAACAGGCAACTATAGATAGAAAACGCTGTTGTTGTTTTTGTTTCTGTCCGTTGTTTTTTAAAAAATTCTAGAACTTTTTGTCGAACTGATTTTTAAATTTGGAACGTCGTTTTATTCCAGCGTCCGACTGGCCAGTAATAAACAAGCCGTTGAAAGTGATCCGAACGAAAGAGAACAAACTATCGAATCGATTTTATCCGTACGATGAGATCGAGACGGAGTGTCAGCTGACTATCGACGACGACATAATTATGCTGACGCCCGATGAATTGGAATTTGGGTGAGTACGTACTTGTAATATCGATATCCACATATCGATATCGTATACGTTTCAAATTAAACCCTAAAACTTGTAAACAAAGCTCATTTTCTATAAAAGGAACGATATTTTCAGAAGCATTTTCTTTGCTACGATGATGGATTGCTGTATCATGATTAATTAATCTGGCATCAAAGATAATAAATATTAAGAAACATCACTCATTACTATTACAGTATCGTTGAATTCTTGTATTTCACGACCACGTTAACCATTTTTTCGCAATTATTAATTGCATCTTTTAACTACTAGGCTGCAGATATCCATTATCAAATATTAACAAGATATTTTTACGAAAAAATACACTACAAAGTAATAAAAAAAGGCTAAGGTATATCATGTCAGCGACACAAGTTTTTTTGTCTTTTTTCAAGCGATACGCGTTCAAGTATATTGGCGGAGCGACGGTCACGCGACCGAGCTCACCACTTTACTCAAATTAATTGATTGAACTACGCTCACCATAAATTTTGTCTATTGAGGACAATAATCTGTTAGTTAAATTATGAATTTATAGTTTACGTCATGAAAAATTTAAAGGCGGTATTAAATAGGTCGAAAAATGCAAGTTAATTTTCAATGGAAAGTAAAACTTCCGACGGATTTAATACATTGGGAATTATTTTTTATAGGCTTGCCTCTGTGTACATTTTTGTATGGAATATTAGAGTTGATTTTGTCCATCCAATTAATTCAAAAGCACTGGATAGCAAAGAAAAATATTGATAGATTTTGATTGAATCGGAGTCGTTTTTTACATATTTTATAAGGATTCATGAGTTTTTTTACAAGGTTTTATAGGTAGTCGAGTGTTTGGTTTATTTCACGTTAAAGTGTAGTACAAGGTCGATTGTTTTAGGTCACCGTCGGTAGCCGGTGATTGATGTCTGATGGGTTAATGCGTCCATTTGTAGTAGGGTGACAATAAAGTCCCAAATCGTAGGATTAATGTGAAATTTTTCAATTTAACGCGCCAGTTTTTAGGACTTATCTATCATACTTCATACTGATATTATAAATGTGAAAGTTTTGATGGATGGATGGATGTTTTAGTTTGTAGCTTAAACGGCTGAACGGATTTCGATGAAATTTGGTATAGACGTAGAGGATAGTCCGGAAGAACACATAGACTACTCACTTTTGTATTTTTTGATTCCTCGCGCACGAAGTCGCTAGCGCAATCTATTACTTAGTATTACCAAGAGTAAAGGTTTGTATTTTGGTATGAATAAACTCAAAAACTACTGGTTCTATGTAACAAATGTTTGTTTTATTCCTGGAAATATTTATCTGACGTATAGTATATGTGTTCATATGCGTGCATATGTATCGGTATGCCATTGCGTGAACACTCTGCTACGAGTGTACCGCTTTATTGCTTACATTACAATTGTAAATCGACAACTTGCGTTAAATGTTTCTCGAATGATTCAATTACACTTTTAGCGGGAGTTAAATTTAATTTATAATAGCATTTGCCTGCGACTCCGTTAGCGTGGAATTAAAAAAAAAAGTGAGTAGTTTATGTGTCTTCCAAACTATCCTCTACATCTAGGCAAAATTTCAACGTGATCCGTTTAGGATGCTAACTCCAACAAACATCCATCTATCTAAACTTTCGCATTTATAATACAGTTATAAAGATTTTTAAAGCCGATTTTCCCTTCATAGAGGAATCTGTTTATTTTAAATCATGGAGAATTTTTATGTACAGTCGTGGTACAAATTCACGGTGGTTAAATAGTTCCTTGCAACAAGATCACAGTTCAAACGATTTCAATTTCATTTTCATTCTTGTCATTATGTACGGTGTCCTATGTAGCTGTGTGTATCCAAGTTTTTGTCTTATAAAATGTATGAATTTTTCAGTTTCGACGTGTGGAGGGAGTTCCCGGACCGCATCGTGGGGTTCCCGTCGCGGCTGCACGTGTGGGACAACGTCACCTCCTCTTGGAGATACCACAGTGAATGGACCAACCAGATCTCTATGGTAAGCTGTCGTTAAGATATGTACAGTGGCGGGTTTTGACTTTTAACTTACAAATTCCACCTCTAATAATAGTCAACAGTGGTAGAGTCCACTTTAACATCTTTGCACTGCAGGGCCGGCTCGCCCCCAGTAATACCACGACCACACAGAAAACAGGCGTGAAGTGGAAGCAATTCCGCGTACAGTCTGATATGTGTGGTGCCGGAGGCCTAGTTTTAGTCCCTTTCCATCCTTTTCTTAAGAAGAAAGGATGGGAAGGAAAAGTGTATTTGACGGTGGAGGAGACGCATAGTAAGGGAAAATGTCCTCTTTATGTGCGTCTCCTCTTCCATCAATGGAGGGTAGGTAACGCATCTGCAATTGCGGATGTCTATGGGCAGCGGTCGCTTTCCATTTCCGTGGATTCAGATGGTCGCTTGCTCTTTTGCCACCTTTTGTTATAAAAAAAATCAATCTATACTAATACTCGAAAGACGAAAGATTTGTATTTTTAAAACTACTTGGCCAATTTCAAAAATTCTTTCACCATTAAATAGCTCCGAAAACAGTGAGTAACATAGGCTGCTTTTTACCTTTTTTTAATTTCACGGGAACGAAGTATAAATAAGTTGCATTAACGACGATATAATAAAATATGATGATAATGACGATTTTCCCATACATTTTTTTATATACAAAAAGGCGGCAAACGAGCAAGCGGCCACCTAAATCCACCAAATTGGCGAAGCCACCGCTTCCCATAGACATCTGCAATTGCAGATGCGTTGCCTACCCTTATCCGACGGAGAAGACGCACATAAAGAGGATATTTCCCCTTCCTATGCGTCTACTCCACCGTCAAATCCACTTTCCCATCCAATCCTTTCCTTAATAGAAAAAGACGGGACGTGAAAGGGACTAAAATTAGGCCTCCGGCACCACACTCATCAGACTGTACGCGGAATTGCTTCCACTTCACTCTTCTGTGTGGTCGTGGTATTACTGGGGGCGAGCCGACCAATTCGTGCGAATATGTTAAAGCGGGCACTACCACTGTTAGAGTGGTAGAGCCCACTTTAACTAAGAACTCATATTTGCAGGTGCTGACCGGTGCAGCATTCCACCATAAGATCTGGTCATGGTACTACACGTATAAAATGCCAGCTGACATCCGCACCTGGGTGGATGATAACTTCAACTGTGAAGACATCGCTATGAATTTCCTAGTCGCTAATGTTACAAGAAAACCCCCCATCAAGGTTAGTTATGTAAATAAACAATACTTATTAATAAGTTAAAAACAAATACAGTCAACGCTAAGGCAACTTCGTAAATATGGATTTTTTTATGGTGACGGCTAAAAACGTACTGAGTTACTTCGTGACTGAGAGACTGAGGCCTGGAGACTGAAATACTGAGCCACTTTTTGCAAAGTCGTTTATAAAACTACCCCCACTATTCCTTCTGTTATCTAATAATTTCTAACAATATATTCTGTTACTTAACATATGTGTGTTTTCGATTTTTTAATAGTTTGTTTATATCCAGGTAACACCTCGTAAGAAATTCAAATGTCCCGAATGTACGAACACGGAGATGTTGTCTGCGGACGCGCGGCACATGTCGCAGCGCTCCGCCTGCATACACAAGTTCACTGACACGTACGGACACATGGCGCTGAAGGCGGTCGAGTTCCGCGCGGACCCGCTGCAGTACAGGGAGACTGCCGGCGTCCCGCAACTGTACCCTGATATAGGAGCACTCTGAGGTAACGGTTATGCCACGTTAACGAAAGGTTAACAACAGGTTAACAAAAGGTTAACAGGTTAACGATGTCTAATTTCAACTGAGAAACAAAATAGAATTTCAAACGTAATATAGAAAGGTTTTGATGTAACTCGGTAAGGTTAATGGTGGGTTAACAACAGGTTAATGCACCTTAAGATGCAAAATAAGTTCTCAAGTATAAATGAATTTTCCATAACCTGGTTCTTAGGTAAATGGTAAAGGTTAACGAAAGGTTAACATTGATATTAATTGGTCAAATGTCCTCGATTTGAAAGACTATTGTAAATTAGTATGATTTTCTCCATGAAGTCTAATTTTAATGTACGTAAAAAGGTTAAAAGTAGGTCCGTATACAGTTTTTTTTTATTTCGTGAGGAATGGACAATAACAATTGAAAAGGCTGGTCACAGAATATTAGGGTTTCGTCCCCAAACCAGGGTATGTAGATTTAACTGCCATTTATAGTTTTCCCGTTTTTTTTCAAGTTTTAACATCATATTAAATACTCTTAGAGTAAACAATTACGTTAAAACAATTTTAAAGAAATCAATGTTACCTAAAACGATAATTGAACCGGAACTTTTAAAATTTATCGATATCAAAATAATCAATTTTTATCGATACTTTTAGCAAACGTCACTAAAACTTAATCGTCTATGATATTGGTTATTTATTTTTTATCTATTCTTTTTTATTTTAATTCTGTGCCATGATTTTTTACTTTTATTAAAAGAAACTCGATATTGTAAAAAATGTTTTTAAAAAGTTAATTAAACAATTGTAATATCCACGTTTTATGTGTATTTTAGTTATGTGTTATTTATTAAAATGTCGATATTTTTTACAATATCGATTATCTGATTTCGTAAATTAGTAATATTGAAATAATGCAACATTTGTGTATTATATTAGATTTAGTAATCCTTTCGTCCGCAGTCATTTTAATGTTAACATATTTTTATAACCTAAAATTAACCTATAATTGTCGTGATAAATGTTGTTTTCAACAAAAACACCAATAAAAAGCAATAGTATGTAATTTTTTATGGCTTCAAAAAAATTATTGAACAATTCGAATCAGTTTTTTTTTTTTGGAAAATAAAAAAGCCTCGCCTCAGAATTCAAATTGTACCCTGTTTTGAAACTTCTGTAAAATATGAACATTGTTATTTTTTGTTAATAGAAAGTTTTTTAATCTGTGCTAATTTGTGATTATTTAAAAGCAGAGGAATGCAATTTAAAACCACACGGTCTCATTTAAACGTCCAAATATTAAATAAATAAAAATAATAATTTATTTATCCCCGAAAAATGTTTATAATAGACGAATAAAAAGGTTGTGCGTAAAATGAAATCTTCAGAGCAGATTAAATAATCTATGAATTATGTCTATATTATCTGTGCAAAATGGCGGCTATTTGTTACCTCGATACTTGCCATTCCTTCGCTATAAATATTAGAATAATAAGTTTTTTTTGTTAACTGGTGCTTTAATGGTGTTTTCACATTGCAGCTATAATTTTTTTGAACAAAAATGTCAAATGCCAATTAAATGTTGCCTGGTTTAAAATTAATTCTTGTTCTCTAATTTTAATTCGTATACAAATCTTACTTTAATCCTGATATAACTGATTGTATAGAAAAAAAATCAAATTTGAAAAAATTAAAACTTTTTATATTAAAGAAAATGGAGTATTGTGTAACGCGTCACATGTCCTTAGGAGAGTAAAAAATGATATTCTAAAAAAGCTAGAAACAAGCTATAGGTGTATATTTAGTCCAGATCGACATATCGGTGCTTGTTTGAAGGTTATTTCCTAGGAAAATAATTATATATACTTTATGTATATTATACAAGGATATCGCACGATACATACATAATATAGATAGATATTGTAGAATATATGTGTGTTTGAGGTTATTTTTGTACAATGTCAATGTTTAGGCGGGAATTTTAGGGCTTAAAAAGAATTGTCATTTTTGTTAATGCTTTACTCTTTGACGGTCATAGAGTATAATTTAAATTATACCTTTTTAGTTTAATGTCATCAAACTTATCTGGCCTGTTATGTAAAACATAATCCGAAATTGCGGTTTCGTTTTATCTTGCCTTTGAGCTAGGTTTATATTATGCCAGTTGTACGCCAGCTGATTTTGATCGCTGATATCCAACTGTACTGGAATAAGGCATTGTCATTTTATAGATTAGATGTAACAATGTCGTTTTTACCGGGCCAAATAAGTTTGTTGTACTATAATAGTAAAAATATCAAAATTGTATATATCCCGCTTTTTATAACGCTTTCATTCCAATAAGAAAAATCATGTTTTATGTTTTATTTTTGTAACCGAATAGATTTAAATAGAAATTTTGTTTGTTTATTCTTTGACCTACGTTTAAAATGGACGGTAATGGATTTTCTAAAGATACAATTTTTACTTTTATACGACGATATTTTTAAAAAAGAATAAAAATCGAGCGATTTTAATCACGCTGGCAATAAGTACATGTATTCACTTTTATATCCCATTTGTTTGTGAATAGATTTTTTTATAGTTTTAAGAATATTATTTGTAAGCGAATTGTTTTTTTTTATGGCCAAAGACCTTGTCGACTAGTCTCGAAGATGTATTTATGGTTAGCATTTAAATAAATATTGGTAATGTATATCCAGTTACCAGCGATATCAATGATAGACTGAAATGTTTTCTTTTTACTAGAGATATTGCTAGATTTTAGATATGTAGCGATCCGTAGTTTTGAATGTAAGCTTTATTGTAAATCTATCAACGCATTGGCCTAAATTTAACGAAATGTATTGTAGTTTCGTGATTTTTCAAACGGTCTCTAATTAAGATTTTTATTCAGGCAGCATACGGCCCAATGTTAAACGAAATTTAAACCAACCGCTTAAATTAATTCTGACATTAGTTGAGGCGCTTTTTGTTGAAAAATCGTTTCAATATTTGGCCGATAGTCACTTATACTATAAGATGTAGTTCATTTGACTTGTTACTTTTTTACCAAATTAATGTTTATTTGTACCCGTAAGTTATTATATCCAATCAGGCAGAATGTTTATGACCGTTTGTATGTTTATTTTTTTCAATCAAAAACCAATGACTATAAATTCCCTATGACTATAAATGGTGCATCTGTTACCGATTGATTGTAAACTGCGCCAGTTTATAATCTCACTGGGTAATTTTTAAATTAACAGTTAATTGTGACTTGATCAAAATAACGATATGACAATTTGACTTAAATCAATAATTTACGTTCATTTTATTATATTTCTAGTAAGATTGTGTAGTGACGATGTTTAAAATGACGGTAACAGAACTAAATTCGCTCGATAACTATGTTACTAATTGTGGTTTAATTTGCTTATATGTTAATATATGTATATTAAGAAATAAAGCCTATAATAAGCCCGTCTATGTCAGCTACCCTTCAGTGAAAGTCCGAAAATCGGCCCAGCAGTTTTGGTGATTACGGAACAAACGCGGCTTGCAGACAGACAAAAAAATGCGATTTTCGTTATTAGCAACGCAAATTCATCTTTCCGAAATCTGAAAATTTTCTTTTGATATCACAGACACTCCAATTTTATTATATATAGATTAATATACTTGTAAATATTGTATCAATTCTCGATTTCATTTGTAATTGTTTTACGATTTGCACGTGTCTTGTATTTTTTTAATGTTTATTTATTAACTTCTGTTAATGTTTGATATCTCGTTTTAATTTTATTTTCACACATATGCTAAAACATTGAAATATGTAACGTAAAGACCACAGTTAAACTCTTAATTCTGACGTCTGGTAGATATTTAGTCCCTTTCCCTTTCCACCCTTTTCTTAAGAGGAAAGGATGTGAAGGAAAAGTGGATTTGACGGTGGAGGAGACGTCTATGAAGGGGGAATGTCCTCTTTATGTGTGTCTCCTCCTCCATCAACTAAGGGTAGGCAACGCATCTGCAATTTTGGATGTTTATGGACAGCGGTCGCTTTCCATTTCGGTGTATTCAGGTGGCCGCTTGCTCGTTTGCCACCTTGTATTATAGAAAAAAGGTTGTAAACGACGCTTACGAAGCGAAATGTTTGAGATTCGTTTCAATAATCGGTCATTAATATAATAGCAGGTGGCTATTATATTTTTGGAATTCAGAGTCGTTTAAAAAGCCATCAATTGAAAGGAGATATTGAGATAAAAGTACGTGCAAATCATTAAATGAGAAATGTCGTATATTTGTTGCTGTTTTATTTTTCTATTTTATATGTAGATAATGTTTTGTAGGTGTAAGTACTTAATAGATTAAATGGATTTTTTTTAATTCGTTGCGATTCTGTACAGCGTGTAAATAGTACACTTTATTGTAATCTGTGAATAAAAGAGACATATCAATTTGTAAACTTTCTTTTTTTTATACCCAAACTAGCTGTTCTCGTGCGGCTTCGTCCGCATGAAATTATGAAAATTTTATTTATTGTTTACAATGTCAAAATGACATGATATTACAAACCTTGGCAATCTTGCTTCCTTGATGTTGGCAGCAACTTATGGTCTATTTCCCACATTAGGGTTTTATCCAAAATATTTACTCCCTAACTTTAATGGCGTGAAGATATATAGCCTAAAACATGAGGTAAGTGTAGGGTTTTTTATTAAAAAAAAGTTATTTAAAATTATGCCGTAATTGCTGACATCATTGGCAACAAAGAAGTGTGTTTACGCTTTATTATAATAGTATAGATACCCTGAAACGAACAACGGATACGAGCCACAAACAAGGTGAGGAAACATTACAAATGTATTCTATGTTTTAATCCGTTAAGACATTTAAGACTTCGCCCGCGGAAATTAAAAAAAATAATGAATATTTTACAGCTTATGTTACTGATGACGTAGATTTCTAATGGTGAATGATTCTTTAATTGGCCCAGTAGTTTTGAGTTTCAAAACATACAGAAATACAAATCTTTCTTTCTTATCAATACTAGTGTATACTCTAATATTATGA